ATTTCCAACACTACAGTGTTGCGACTCTCCGGAATCATCAAATATCATTCGTTTCTTGATTTCAATTGTCCTCTGTATTAACTCTGGCTGCTGCCGTCTTCATCCCCGCCTGGGCTGTTCCAAAATCTATTGATTCGCGGACATCCCCCACTCTGTGAAGGAAAGAGTAAGCCGAGAGGTCGAAACATTACATAGTATGGAGGTCGAATTATCCTGACCAACGGAATAAGTTCCGGGGCCGCTGATGCTCCGCGAGTGTTGTTCTGAAATATGGACATCCGTGGATACCGCTCGAAGGGCTTGTTTTTATTTTCATCGTTAGGATAAAGTTACGAGTGATTGCAATAAGCTTGGGGGGATGGGCGCTATCGTAGGTGACCAGTGGGATAGGATGAACTTGCGGAAGAGCCGGTATGTGAAAAGGAATGATTTGGCGGGTCACAGGATTGACCGCGCAGTGGCTGGGTCTATATTTAGTGTTTCTTACAAGCCGAGCAGCTCCGGGGCTCAGCTAGGGTTCGTCTACACTTTGGCTTGAGCTATACTCGAGCCAAGGTGGAGGTTTTTCAAGTTTATTTTTCTTTTCAAATCCATAAGGAAAGGGCGAGGAGAGAAGGCTGGTATCTCTGGGAATACCTTGCGGGAGCAGTAGAGGCCCTGGTAGGTCGGGAGAAAGGAGGTTTAATACCCTCGAATTCCCCTATTCCCAGGAAGCCGTTTGAGCACGCTTTTGGCGGCCTACGGAGGAGCCCGGAGCAGGTCTCACGTTGTCCCTGAAGAGTGGCTGGGGATCAGGAATTGGGCTGGGTACCAATAAGGAATTTCAAGTAGAGGAAGTCAAATAGATATTCTATAAACATACAGCCTCCGATTGATTGCCACAAGCTAACGGCGCTGAGTGGAAAGCTTATACGTTCAGATAGCTGAATTTGGAGATCTGTTTTTATATTATATTATTTAACATTGGGAACATATCCTCACTCAGGCTTACAATACGGATACCCTTATAACCAGTTTAGTGGGTTATACCTTGTGACTACAAACAAAATCTGGCTCGAGCACATTTGCTGTTGAGCCGGCTCGTGAGGAAAACTGGTATAGATACACGCCTTGCTCAAAGCAGGATAGGGAAATAGGTGGGAAGTCCCGGTGGATTGTGTGACAAATTGAAGTAACCGTATTGTTGGGGTGGTAATATCTATTAATTGTTTATAGGAGGAAAGGGTGAATGAGATGAGCTAAAACAAATAAAAAACGGAAAGCGGGTATGATACATGGAAGGGAGAATTTTTAGAATGAAATCTAGGTTAGGCAATTAACCAAGCGGAATGAATTTGCAAGTGGAGAAAGAAAAGGGAAGACCGTCAAACCCTATGCCACAAACGCCGAAAGGAGAAACTGAAAATGATTCTCTCGGCCGCATCGCTAAATAGTCGGAAGGATTACAGAGATACAATAAATTCCGGAATTGGAGATTTTCGGGTAAAGGGGTGTGAGCTAACCTAGCTGGAAAGGGAAGAGCGGGTAGGAAAAGAGAGTGCGGTGAGACCGTATCTTGCGCTCTAAGCATCAGGGAAGGTGGGGGGGGTGAGGCCGGGGTATATGGTACAGCTGTAGACGTGATGAAGGAACAGTGGATAAATTGAGGTCAAAGACGGAAAGAGGATGAAGAAACTGGTGACTTTTCAACTCCGAGCCAGACCAGGGTTGAAAGTTGCTGGGCCACGGCAGATTTGCCGCTCCGAGATGCGTTGGAGAGTTGTATGTAATGATTTTTGTCCGGCTCGCCAGTTAGCATCCTGCTGCCCGAATAGGAATTTCGCCATCACTTTGCGTACTTTCTGGGCGGCCCGCGAGGAGGTCCGTTATGCAAGTCTGCTTTGCCGGGGTTGTCATTTCCCTGGTTCAAGACTCGCATAACCATTGAAGCACGCCCCTGAATTGTAGTCTATGGAGGTGTCCTGCCCTTGTCGTCTAGTCTGTCGTGATTGACACCTTCCTGGTCTTGAGGGCAAGCGCTGACCCGTACCCTGCAATAAGGGGCTCCCGAGAGGGGTTTGCTACCCTGGTGCTTGCATGCTGGGGCTGGCATCTTGAGGGTCCAAAAGTTGCTTGGCCATTGGCTCGGGTGCTTTTATGGTAGACTGGGAGATAGGTGTAGGGCCCTCGATATCTGGCTTGCCCCGTGGAGCCGGCCCGGAAACTACTTAACCACTGACCCATGCCCGTTATTTGTAGCCAAGGAATGGGGAGTACTGCCCTAATTGCCGGGGTTGTCGGGGTTGACGTCTTTGTGGCCCAAAAGTTGCCTAATCACACACTCGTGCCCTTTCATTGTAGCCCAGTTGAGGGGTGTCCTACCCTTCTTGTCTACTGTGTTAGGGTTAACGTCTTCGCGGTCCAAAAGTTGCTTAACCACAGACACGT